ACGTGGGCACATTCAAGCTGGGCTCAAAGGTAACAGGGGACTTGCTGGACCCAGTACCAAGTTGAGGAGCAGGTCACTCTTCACTGGCCGGGGAAATAATTTGGCCTGGGAAAGGGGAAGGAGATGTGTGGAGTGGGCATGGGCTGGCTGCTTCTCTCCTGGAGGGGCTCTTCAGACTCTCCCGGGTTGGTGCTGAGTGGTTTCCAGATCTTTGGTCTGTGGTGGCGAGATCGGTGTGAGCTGTAGAGGAGGTTGTGCCTTTCACTGGGAGATGCAGGAGGGGAGGGATATGAGGGTGAAGTTTTCTGTTTTCCCTCCACGTGTCTTGTGCCAGAGGCTGGAATTACTGTGCTGAGGGTGTTGCAAATGCACAGCCAAAAAAGTGGCGGAGAGCAGTAAATGAGGACGTTCCTGCATGTACCGAGGTATCTGGCGACACCCTGCCTTTGTGTGGTTTCAAACACAATCGAAATGTTTGGTGTCTGTGTTTCAGCAGTATTATCGGGACAGAAAACACTTCCCTTTGCAGCCATGGAGAGATCTGCTGAAGATCTCAGTGCTGTTCCGGAAAGACCTGCAGCCATGTGAATAGTCCCTCTGATTTATGATTGAAATACTCTGATGTGCAGGATTTAATAGGGTATTTTCCCCTGTACCATAGTGTTACCAGCTGCAGAATGGAGAAACCCCACATAAGAACTGGCTAAGACATGGAAATGTTTTCTTTCCCTTTGGAAAAGAAAATTACACCATTCTTAGAGCAGCTGAGCTAAATCTGAGTGCTTTCAGGAATAAGAGTCAGTTATGGAGTGGCCTGCATGCACATTTTAGTACCAGAGTTATTTAATGTATTAATTATCTGTAAAAAGTGGTGAACCAGCAGTGAAGTGCTTAAGTGTGCAGATACCACAGACTTGCTTAGGTTAGGCTTCAGAAAAGCGTGAGGAACATTTAAGGGCCTTGATCTAGATTGCAGACAACATTATGCCAGATCAGCACAGTACTGAAAGACAGTAAACATTGGAAGAGGAAAACCGAACTATTTCTACATAATTCTATGTCCTAAATTAACTGCAGCTCCTCTGGAGAAAGGACTGTGTGTCTCGGAGGATCTCCCAGATAAAACATCTGCTGAAATGCCTCGTGTCACTCCAAAAGCAAACAAAATACGAGGCTCATGGAAGACTGGAATGCAAAAGCATTCTGCAAATAGTGTAAAAAAAAGTCTGGGGAATATCCTCATGTTTAACTGTTTCTAGGTCTGTTCAGCCTGTCTTCCAAGCAGTCATGTCAGGAAGAGGAGCTGCAGGGCCAGGCGGTGGAAGTGAATAGAAGCATCCAGTGGGATGGAACACTGAGAAGCCAGAAGCTGCTGCAAACAAGGGGGAACAGGGCAGAGATATAAAAATAGCTTGTTCTGAAAGAAAGGTGATTCAAGCCCTTCCGTCTTCACCTCTAGGCCCAGCCATGTGAACATGAAGTGAGAGGCGACAAATTTAGACCTGATGAAGGAAAATCAGGTTTTAAAAAAATGAGTTAAGATGCTATTGCAAGCAGCAGGTTGCCTGTGGAACTCCGTGCCACAACGTGCGATTGAAGTCAAGATCTCACCTTGGTTTTGAAAATTGACATGTTTATGTTAAGAAACGGAGGAGCTCCACATGTTTGATATAGGTCGCTATGCAGAAGGACCTATGCATCCATAACTGAGCATGCAGAGAAATTTCCACCTGGTAGGAGTTCGGAAGGCATTTTGTCAGTGGATGAGTTGTTTCATGACAGGATTTGTAGCATCTTCCACCAAAATGCTTGGCTCTGGCCTCTCGCAGTGTGCCAGCAGGCAGGCAGACCACTGCTCCTCCTTGGGTAACTCCAGCTTTCTCTTTTGCGTGGCAAACGGGAGGTGTCTGCTAGTTGACAATCTGGAAGCCTGAGTGGTGTGTGATACCTGTTGTTCTTGTGGTGTCTTAATGACTGCTTAATTAAGTTAACAAGATCTTTTTGTCTTGGGGCCACTCCCTCTCCACGGAAAAATTGCGGTCATGTCGCGAAGGCAGGGCTGAGAGAAAGCTGCAGTGGTGTACAAAGGGCACCATATCACTTCAATCTGGCCTCCCTCCCCCAGGGATTCTCATCGATGTTCCAAAATTTTCATCTGTTTGGGGCTGAGCGGGCAAAGATTGCAACTAACGTTTAGGCTTGTTTGAGTAATGTGAATGCCAGCTTTCAAAAAAGTAAAATAAAACAAAACTATCTCACCACCTCCCCTCCCTACAGTGATCGGTCTGGTTTAGTATAATGAATGGTGTTCCGTTTAGTTGCCTTGTGTATGTTTAAATGGTGTGGACACTGGTTTTGTGCTTCCCAACAGCGGAAGTGCAAAACTTCTTTTGTGTGTGAAAACGAAATTCTCTCTTAATTGCGACACTCCAGAAGCTGGAGCTTTAAGGAAAACCCACTGGACAGCTGAAGGCTCATGAGAAAAAAAAATAGAAATTTTAATCTTAAATTCTAGGTCATCCGCTTCTTGCAGGGGTCTGGAGGTGTTGGCAGCATAGATCTGGGGAGAGAAGGAAGGAGGTGTGTGCTGCGTATGACAGCCGTGCAAGTGATTTTTATGAACGAGGAGGTTTCCGCACAAAAACACGTCGGGAATATCCCACAAATAGTCCACCCCTCCGCTCCCTCCACTTGAGTTAGTGGGAGGGATTTGAAGTTCAGGCGATGCGTGGCTGAGCTCTCATTAGTGACCAGGGACATTTCGTTCACAATGTGGAAGGCAGGCAGGGAGAGGCAGATGGCTTTGAATGCAGGATTTACATAGTAATGAGATTCAGGTCACCATAGCTGTCTTTTTCTCTCTGCATTTTGTCTAGGTGTCGAGTAGTGTGCAGGGATGACGGAATGGGGAGGAAAGGAGGAAAATTAACCCCTTATTCCTAAGGAGAGATTGATGCTAGAATAAGAAGTTTGTCACAATGGGCTGAAGAACAGTGGGGTATGAGAACAAGCACAGATGAAGCTAGAAGGGCTAAAGGTAGCCACTTTTTAAGTTTCTGTCATGTTTTTTTTTGTGGGAATGGCACAAAGCATCCTAACCTTAAAATCCCAGAATTTCCTGTAATTTTTATGTTCTGCATTGCTGGTTTGAGGACAGATAGTTTTGGTCTTTTATCATTACTAGTCAACCCAAAATTGGGGAAGTTTGTGGAATGAAGATGGGGCATGGACTCTTTCTACAGGGCCTTTGCTTATTTCTTTGGAAAAAATTACCCATTTTGCTTGGTTTCTTGGCTAAAGACTTGTCTTTGCATGACTGTGTAATGGCGTGATTAAAACATAATATTTTCCACTGCAATTGGTTATCCTTAGTATGATCTCACTAGTGTCAGATCTTATCCTGATGACAGATGGGAAACTGGGAACCATGGGTCCTATTTCCAGCTTTGGATGGTAGCACTTGATTTGCTCAGTAGTCAACCCCAGCCGTTTTCAAAATACGGATCAGGGCCTGAGAAATCCCAAGGCTACTTTTAAAATTATGAAAGTTTTAAAATTATGTATGTTTGTTTCTTCTATCTGTCTTCTGCTTTTTTTTTTTTTTAAAATAGTTAGTGGAGTGTGGGAAAGTTAAGTTTTTCTTTCTGCTGTACATCACCTGACTCCAGCAGCCAGGGTGTTAGAAGTGTTGCAAGACCTGCAAGAAGAGCTGGAGAGAAGCCTTAGGTGATCCCTGTGTTAAATAGAAACCGTGGCACTTAACTGCATGTGCAAGTCTGGGCTGAGGTGGGGAAAGTAAGGAAGGTGTTTGTGTGCAGAGGTGGGTTTTGTGTAAGGTTTTCAGTATTTGCAAGATAGTTTTGATTCTTTCGCATAGAAATTGCTTTTGGACCACAAAGCATTTGGGGTGCTAAGGGGAGGATTCACCTTGTCTCACCTTGGCCACTGGAGCTTAGGGGGCTTGTCTAGTCTCAGTGAAGAAACATTCAAACCATCCCAAGACAGTGGGACGAATCCCCCTTGGAGGGGGAGGGAGGGGTGTCTCCTGACTGCATGGTATCTGGCTAACATTTTACACCGGCTTCTACCTGGCTGAAAGGTGAAATGACCCTTAGCTTAAAGTCCTGGGGAAGTCTGAGCTGAGACTGGTCTTGCTTATTTGGGCGTCTCCTCCGTGCCCTGGACAGGGATGCTCCTGGAGAGCCGAAGCAAAGTTTTTACCTTGTCTTCTGCTTCCTCAGCAGGGCTGATGCTGAGACTGGCTGGGCAGAGGCGCCTCGGCGGACATCTGCTGAGGCCGGCAGTAAACGCACAGCGGGAGGGCTGCTGCCTTTTGGCTGTTTGGGCTGGGGGGCAAGAGGAAATCTAATCGGATGCCTGGGACAGACTGGGAAGTGAAGGCTTCTTGGCTGCTTCCTCCCGAGGAAAAGGCTTAGGTCTAATGGATCTAATTATGTTATTTCTCTGTTTTATGGTTACATCCATTTGTTTAAAAAGTCGGTAATCCTTTTATACCGATCCTGTAATGATTATTTAATGTCTGGCTGTTTGTGAAGCCCACCAAGCTGTGTGAACAGAGGATGCTTCACCGCAGGGAATCCGCCGGGTTCCTCCGCAGGACGGCAAGCTGGGCCTGAGAGCCCGGAGTGAGGGCCTTAATAGGGTGGCCTTGGACGTGCAGCGTTTGTTTTGTGCTTCGTTATCCCACCTGCCAAATGCAAATAACGGTAGTTCTCTCCTTTGCCAACTGCGGTGAAACGCAGGGCTGCCTCTTGGCTAAACGCTGCCGGAGGACTCTCCTGCAAGGGTAAAGATTCACCGACGTGTGCTTGGCTGGCAGACGCCGTGCCGGTGGCCCGTGGGGCCCTCAGCTCCGTGGGAGCAACGGCGGCTGTTGGCAGGCGGCGGCTTTGCGAGCATCGCGCTCCGCGCGGGCCTCCCCGCGCCAGCTGGGCAGATCGGCTCCCGTTGCTGACGTGTTCTAATGCCTTCATTTGCAGAGCCCCCGAAATCATCCTCGGTTTACCGTTTTGTGAAGCAATCGATATGTGGTCGTTGGGATGTGTCATTGCAGAGCTGTTCTTGGGCTGGCCGTTGTACCCGGGAGCTTCGGAGTACGATCAGGTGGGTACGGATATCGCCCTGGATGCTGGCAAGCGCACGGGTGGTTTTCCCATCTTTTGTCAGCATGAGCAGATGCCAACTTTTTCTGTTTTGCTAACAGGGATATGTGTTTCTTGCCCTCCCAGGTCAACTTTTTCACCATCCACCTGGGGTATTTATTATAGATAACCAGTGTGCTCTTTAGTCCGCTGGCTTTTAAGACCTGCCTGCTGAAGTGAAATCTCAATCGAGAGTCAACACTGCCGTTGACTGGAGAGCTCTGTACTTGTCTCTCCTCACTGAGCCGAGCAGGCACCCTTTCTCGGCTGTAACAGCAAGGATTGAATAAAGGTTTATTTGTTAGAAGAAACTGCACGATCTCTACTGCGTTTCATAATCCCTTTTACAAGGGTGCATATTAAAAGCAATGACAAGAAGGAGAATGTTCACAGTGGTGTCGGTTTCCAGTTAATATAAGCTGTCGTGCTTCTCTCCCTATAGGCTTTTATGCTCCTTTTGTAGTCCTAAAACTGATAGTGCAGCGGCTGCTAGAGCCAGGGCTGCAGAACACTTCCCATTCACATAGTCTTCTTCGGGGTGATCTTAGCTTTCTGCAAATGAAGCCTGAAAAGGATCTTTTTTTTTCTTTTAGAAAATAAAAAAATAAGAGCAAGGTAATAAATAAAGAAGTTTTTCATATATGCAAATGATTTTTTGATTCTTCCTTTGTAACTAGTATTTTTCAGTCAGAGCTTTAAAGGTGAAATTTGGCAGGGGAAATAACTAGCAGTGAAGAGCAGGGCCATTAGTGTCTCCAAAGGAAATCAGATGTATCTGCAAAACTTTTAAGTGTTTGTAAATCAGATACCAAGCATGAAGAGTAGCTTGCTTTCTCCTCCCCCCACAAAAGCCATAAAACACACAGCTGAAAAAGAAATCACCATATGTACCTGCCCAGCTCAAAGCTCCCTCCAGTGAATTATGGTGAGGGCTCCTGGGGAGCTGGGAAAGGGTCAGGGACTGATCCTGGCCGCTCAGCGCGGCCCGAGTGGCCCCGCAGTGCTGGTGCTGGGCTGCGGGCAGGATCCTGGTGCTTCTCGGGTGCACGGGGCTCCGACGGACCTCGGGGGCTGCAGCCTCAAGCAAAACACGCTCACTGCGCCGGGTCCTGAGTGCTTGGAAGTCTTTGAAACCACAGCTGCACTTTTTATGCCTTTATTTTTTTTTTTTTTTTAATTATTATTTTACCCCTCTCTGTCTCTTCTCTCAAAACCACTTTCCATCCTTCCCTAGAATTTTCTAGAGTAGATGACTAGTTTTAGTAGTTTTGCAGCGATGTTACAGAAACATTCAGGTGCCGGGAGATGCCAAAGTTCAGGTTTCCTGTGGCACCCCAGGCGTGTGTGAGATCAGTCTCTAATTGTGTAAACACAGACCCTTTCTCTTTTGAATAAATAAATTAACACTGAGATCCTGGAAACACGTGTAAGCATCTTTTGGCTGTGTGAGTGCCAGCGAGGTCACACTCATGGAAGTAACCCAAATAACAAATTAATTCATGTAGGCAATAGAGATGAAGTACTTTACATACCATGAGGGTGTCAGTTCGTTTGAGTGTATATTTCAGCTAAGTTCAAAGACAGTCACTTCACAGTCCTCCGTTTTGAACTCCAAACTGCTCCTGGGAAAGGCTGTGCGCTCAGCTGGGGGAGAAAACAGCCAAAGTTAGAGTGCAAACATCAAATTGTTGAAATTACCTCCTGGAGAGAAGAGTGTGACATGAAAAGGTGCAAAGCGGCGAAACACCCCATTGAAATCTCTGGGTGGGTCTTACTCTTTGCCCTCCAAACCTCGGGGCTTTCCTCCCGTTACCCCGCGGTTCTGGGGGAGCGTGCCGTAAGGGTGATGCACGAACGGAGGGATGCTCTGTGGGAGTTCTCTTCCCTCATTCCTTGCACTGTTTTGGTTTTTGTTGTGAAGTCTAGCTATGTGCTACGTTTTCTCTTTCTTTCTTGGTTCTGTTGTTTTAAACGCCTCCTTGCCCCTCTGCTCAAGGAGGACCTCCAGAGATTCTCAGATAGTGACCTCTCATCCTTCTCTTGCAGATTCGCTATATTTCACAGACACAGGGCTTACCAGCAGAGTATTTGTTAAGTGCAGGGACAAAGACTACGAGGTTTTTCAACAGGGATACAGACTCACCGTATCCTTTGTGGAGACTGAAGGTAGGAAGATGTTCACCTTCTTTCCTTTACCTTGTAGTTGTTGGTTGGAAGCGAGGGGACGTTCAGGTCACCTCGAAGCTTAGGTCTCTGCTTTTTGCAGTGCAGTACGGGCTTTGGGGTGGGTACAGCCTGAGGTAGAGCTGCCATCCCCGAAGTCTGCAGCCCTTAGCCCACCTGCTTGGCCCTGCTTTGGGGGAAATTTAAGTCTGGAATTGACCTGGAAATCTCCCTCTAAGTAGTCAATGAATTGATGTGTAGTTTAAATGAAACATGCCCTGAGCAGACTTTGCTCTAATACCTAATGCATTGGGGGGGGAAGAAAAAAAAAAAAAAAAAAAAAAAAAAAAAAGACATTTAGTTCTGCCAATCAAAACTGCTAGTAATGCAGGTGGGCCCTGAGTCTCTGGTACCAGCGTGTTTGGCTGCATTTGGTCGCCAAGGAGAGGCCAGTGGGCTTCTGGCTGTAAGGATGGCCTGCTGAGCCTCCCGCTGGGGTGGGGGTAAGAGACCTTTGGGACTCCCACCATAGTTGGGAGGATCGTCTGAAGTGAAAAAGAAGAGATAAATCACCTTGTGACACAAAAGCTGTCGTACAGCCGTAGTGGAGATAGTGTAAATGTTAATTGTCATCCGGCAAGAAAGACAGAATAGTCTCTGATGAGAGCAGGGTAAGGCACATAACCCACGGCTGATTGCGGGGCAGCTCTGGTCAATGCCTGTCTCCTGTTTTGAGCAGACGCCAGATGATCATGAGGCAGAGACGGGGATTAAGTCGAAGGAAGCGAGAAAGTATATTTTCAACTGTTTGGATGACATGGCACAGGTAAGAGCACTGGTGAGTAACCAGCAAGACTGCCTCGCGTGCTTTCGGGCAACGCTCACAAAGGGGAACGACGTGATTTCTCTGCGTATCCAGTTCTTGTGCCAGCTCCTGAGAAATACCAGGATTATGCCTACCAAATCAGCTCCTTATGTGCTGCTTTGTAGGGGAAACTGCACATGGGGGCATGTGGGCTCAGTGGGCTGTAGAAGAGCAGCCTTGGAAAGCGGCGAAGTCACCTCTCTCAGTGTTAAAATCCCCCGTTTTCTCTCGCCTCTCCAGCGCTCCTCTGTGTGACCACTGGCAAGTCACTTACGTCTCTGTGCTTTAGTATTTCCACTTTGTAAAACGGTGACATTGGAAATAATCGCCACGGCCGCAGAAGAGCGCGCGCTCTGTGAAACGTGGCTACCTGGGGGAACGGGGAGCACCAACGCGCCGCGGCAATTCCGCGCGGCCGTGGAGGTGAATTCCGGCCCAGCCGCTCCTGCGACTGGCATTTGCCTTGGCAAACCAGTGCACGGGACTGGCGCAGCGCTGGTGCACAGCACCAGCACAAACCCGGGGCGGAGTCGAGGCATCGTAGCATTCACAAGCAAACGTGCAGAAATGGAGGGCTGAAATCGGGGGAGACTGGATAAATGGATGAAATAACGTAATGGGTTTTTTTTTTTTTTTTTCCTACCGCCTGATACATGAGTGGGATGTTCCATATAGACACACTGACAGTTGTTACTTGCTTTATATATTTTTTGTTCACAGGACACATAGTTAAGTATCTGATAGCACAGTCCTTCATATGATAAATACACTGATTATCGGAGCTTGCCTGCTACCACATGGAAGCTGTTCATCTTCAGTGGAGGGTGACTAAATGTTTCGTTAGCCGTTGACCCAAGCGAGCTGAACGCTCAGCAGTCTGTCCAGAGCTCTGACATGCACAAGCCAGACGACGAGCCACCGCGGAGTCTGCCGCGTGGCTTCAGCAGCTGCCCCTTCAGGCGGGGAGGCTTGCGGGGCACGTGCTCCAGCCAGGAGTAAACAACGGTTTGCTGGAGACCTGGCCGTCTGCTCCTTCCCTTTAGCACTCACCCTTGTCCCTTCTCCTTTAGGTGAACATGACAACAGATTTGGAAGGAAGCGATATGTTGGTGGAAAAGGCGGACCGGCGGGAGTTTATAGATCTGTTAAAGAAGATGCTGACGATAGATGCAGATAAGAGAATAACACCCATTGAAACTCTGAACCACCCTTTTGTCACCATGACCCACTTGCTGGATTTCCCTCACAGCACACAGTACGTGGCTTTCGTTTCCCTTGGGTTTTGAATTGAGGGGTGAAGAGGAGAGCTGGCAGTGGTGGTGATCAAATGTATCCGAGGGACGTTATTAACATGCTTAAGCCCTAAGTTTTAATTTTTTTCTGGTCAAAAAAAAAAAAAAAAAAAGGGTTGCCAACTCTTCAGGTTGCAAGAATTGTGTTGTAGGTGCTTGGCATTTAAAACGCTCCAGAGCGTGCTACGTTCATTATGTAAATATTCAATAATTACATATGTTTGCATTAAAATGCAGAAGAAATTATGCAATTAGAGCTGAAAGTATCAGTATATCTCAAAGTAACATAGTCCTGATTGTTACTGCAGTAATCAACTTTATCTGCAGCGGGGAGCCGACCCTTCCTCCCAGAACCTTCCCATCTTGCAGGGGTCAGTTTGGGGCTGTTTGCTTTTTAAGGGGAGAGCTTTTGCTGCGGCAGGCTGGTTTACAGGCACAGGCGGCAGAACAAGGAGTTCAGTTTTCAGCTTAGTTCTCGCCCACCTGTGTAACCTTAAGCACCGTGCTCTGCCCTCGGCTGACCTCTCTGTGGAACGGGGATGGGCTCCACTGCCCGATGGAGATGTGAAGAGGTGTCACGCCTTCCAGCCTGCCTCCCCCCCTTCTCCCAGGGCTGCATCACGGAGCGTAGCAGCCCCAAACGCAGGAAACCTGCACCCAGCACGTCGCTCTTGTCCCCCGGGCAGTCGGCGCAGGGCCGGGCTTCGCAGCAGCAAGGGAAGGCAGGGGAGCAGTGGGAGTTGCCCGAAGCCTTCAGGACACCTCGCGCCGAGCATCCTGCTCTGCAGCACTCTGCGGTTCAGGGGGCTCCTGCGGGCTGTCCCTCCTGCTTGGCGGGAGAGCAGCGCCGCCGGGGCAGCACTGTGCTGCGCTGGGCGCCACGTGCTCCCGTGTTTAACGGCTGTGAGGAGCTCGGGTATGGAAATGAAGGGGGGCTGCTTAAAAAGCCACAGCGTATGTTTGTGTGGGTGCTGCAGAGCAATAGGCTACTGTGTCACCTCTCCTGCCTGCATGTGCGCTCTTGCCTGCAGTGTTTCAGGTTCATTTAAGGTAGTTTCCCCTCTGTGAAGGAGCTGTAGCTGCCTTGTTGTTACGTTTCTCACAAGGTTAAGAGCAGCTGCTTACCAGGAGGTAGTGGGTGCGCGATCTGTGTAGACCCAGACTTACCCTGCACAGACATCTTTGAGCTTTGTTATCGATAAGTAAATAGTAAGTGATAAATGTAATGAAAACAAGATGGGGGATTGTTGTGCTAAACAGAGAGAAAGTAAGTTTCATGTAAAAATGTTCATAAATAAAAAAAAGACAGAATTTTCTGACAGTGTCACCATCGTATACTAAAGTCTTTTAATTTGCAACAGTCCTTCTCACTCTGCAACAACCGATTGTGTAAGAGGGGAGAGATTTGTGGCATAATGCACTGCCGTCAGAAATCTTTCTGCTAACGCAACAGACCGTAATTGCATCTTCATTTTTGAAGTGCTCACTTGTGTCTGCTCAGGCAAAGCCCCGGGAAGGTTGAAAACATCACTGGGGCCGATAGCAATGAGAATTTTACCCAAATAACCTGATCAACATCAGGTCTCTGAATACTAAATGCTGTGCCAGCTGGGTGTGTAACCCCACGCAGCCCCTCCACGTTGGAAGCGGTGATTGGTAAAGAGAGCAATAAGCTATAACCAGCATGGCAAGTTGATGGAAATTTTGTCTGTGATTGCCTGTGGTTTTGAGAACAGAAACTTCAAAGCCTCGAGAGATGCAGGGAGTTGTAATCTCTCTTGAAAGTAAATCAGGCAGCAGAGAAAGGGAGAATATATGGAAGATGTAGCTTCTGGAAGGAATCTCTGCCGTCGTGTGCTTCAGAGAGGCCGCAAGTTTGAGCAGCCTGAGAGGGGCTGTTCTGCTTACTCTGCTCACTTCCAAACAGCAAAGTGAGTGTAGCTCCCCGTTTCATGCATTTAACTGGCTGGCTCTGAACTTGTTGGGTACTTCTCGGTCCTTCCGTCCATTTTGCTCTCTCCCTGCCCTCTTTTTTTTTTTCCCCCCTTTTTTTTAAAAGTAAAGATGGAGAACACAGTATTATCTTAGTAGAGATTATACCTTTTATATAAAATCATTTGGTAACACATATAGTTTGCCATGTACAGCATATATAGTCTTTCCAGTGCTTTCTACTCTTTGGAGGGAGAATTATGTTCATACTTTACTGGAAAAATGCAATCCAATAGTCTTTATTTGGTAAGTGTTTGATTTTTCTGAATGTTCTGTGACTTACAGGTATTTCATAGTTCTTTAGATGAATGCACATAATGCACAGCTATGCACAGTGTCCTGAGCCTGTCTTATCTGCAGGTGTTTATGGCACAGATCCAGTTATCAAGATATTACCTGTAAGAGAAGAAAGATGACCATGTGAGTAAGAGACAAGACAGGGATAAAAAGACCTAGGTCCTCTTCCTGACCAACCCTAGGGATCATAAGAGTTTGTTCCTTTTGAAGAGAAATTTTGTTTCTTAAAAATTATATGAGGATGTGTTTACCTCCCCTACCTCTAACAGCTTAGATCGTTACAAAAGAAATTATGCATGCAGCTGATTTTTTTTATAGCTACAGCTGATTTTCACTGCTTGGATTTTCTATTTTTCTGGGTCGGGATAATGGAAATAAAATAAATGCCTTTATGCTTTTTTGCATTGTGTTTCAGACTCTGAGGTCACATTTGTAAAAACAATTATTATGGAACAATTGTGGAAAACGTGTATTGGTTTTTAGACCTTGGAAAAAACGAGATTTTATTAGAAATACAGTTTTGTGCAATATCGCTATGTTGTTACCCCTTAAACCTCTCTATGCTTTGGTATCACAATTATAAAAATGAAATACCAGCAGTTTCGTGTACCAGACACCTAGAGTACTCTAGCAACACAGAGAGTATTTCATCTCCTTTGCTGGGGATACAAAATATGATACTTCTCAAAATTTCCATTGCTATATCAATAACATTTGAAGGGAAATCTGTGTGGAGGCAGAAGCTGCAATCTTTTCCCCCAGAGATCCAATTCTCAGTCTGAGATAACCTCAGAACCTGATTCCCTCGGGACACTGATGAATCTGATTTGGCATAACCTTTTGCGATACGAATCGTCCCATTGACTGGAAGAGGACAGCTCATGTGCTTTAACATAAGCATCTGCAGAAGTGTTTAGCCAGACAGGGGCAATGTTTTAACCGCTTGGCTGGACTCAACTCTCGGTGAACTACTTTTTAAAAGGAACAAGTAAGATTTCTCAGGGATCTCAGTGACCAAGAACAGCAAAATTATTCTTTGCAATAGACTTGTAAAACTACCTTTAGGCTTACACTGAGGCAGAAAGCATGAGTTGTCTTTTCCTCTCAGGCTCAATCAGAAAAAAACCCAGTATCTATCTTTTTTTTTCTTGCTCTCAGTCTCTTTCAGTCTTTTAAAATAGCCACTTTGTATTTCTTGCTCTGCCACCTAAAGAGCAGCCAATTTGCTTGCTTTTTGTGACTTACATTGCAGTGCTCAGACCTGTGAGGGCACCCAGGAGTCCCAGAGCAGCCGCTCTCATCTTGACACCCATTTGGCCCTCTTCAGCACAGGGTTAATCTGACTGTTAAGAGAGACCTGCATAAAATAGCAAAGGGCTTTAAGAGCCTAGAAAGTGCCAAACCTGCCGTGGAGACCTAGTGCAGGGCCGCTGTGACGGACTGTTACCTGTGTTGGCCAGTTGATTGATTTTCTGTTTCTTCCTTGTCCACCCTTTCCTTACATAGCGTCAAGTCCTGCTTCCAGAACATGGAGATCTGCAAGCGGCGGGTGAATATGTATGACACAGTGAACCAGAGCAAGACACCATTCATCACCCATGTAGCCCCAAGTACATCGACCAACTTGACCATGACTTTTAACAACCAGCTGAACACAGTCCACAACCAGGTAAGGGCATCGATCAGGAGCAGCCAGGGCTTGAAACGTTTATGTCAGTAGGGTCTAGAAGATGAAAAGCAAAGTAGCATCCCACTTAACATGCCTGCAAAAAGATGGTCCTTTTCTACTCTTCTCCCTCCGCTCTTCCTCATTCTCTTTTCTTCAGGCAAGCAGTAACCTTGTGACATTTTGTGTGATGGTGAAATGTTGTCCTCGTTGTTGGGGGTGATAAATCCTGCTTACTTGGGAAGTTGCTATGGGGAAAAGCTCATTAGTCCCTTAATGCAGCAAACAGGACTGCACTCCCCGGGTAAGGCAGAAGTATTTGCGATTTTACAGCACTTCTTCAAATTGGCTTTGAAGTAAAAAGAATTTAAACCCTTCTGCAACAGGCACAGCACTCTAACCACTCAACGGGAAGGAAGAGTTTAGTGGTGATGTTTACTCTTACCCCTCGTTGGTTTTACTCCGGGTGCCAGAGCTGACGTGGGGACCCTGTGCACATATCCCCACCCTGAACACATTGCACCCTATATTGGTGGGCTCTGGCTTTGTAATCATGCTTTGGACTCTTGGATGAGTTTTACATGCCCTGGTGTTGGGGGGTGCTGGGTTGACAAGTTTTTTGTGACTGACAGGCTAAGTTGTTTGCTGCAGTGTATTACAACAGTGAAAGGAAGCTCTCCAGGGACAGCACTCTAGGAGGCTGAAGCTCAAGAAATCGCTACTGTCTTTTAAGCCTTTTGGGAACAGGCTGCTCAAGATTCACTCTAGAGATTGCAGGTGGCGTTGCGGAAACGGTGCTTGGAGAGCAAGGGAGCTCCAGGAGTCTGGGTAGATGTACAGGGTGTTCCTGTGTCACCCAGAAAACCAGACTTGATGACTCAGTTCTCGATGCATGTGATCACAGAAGGTCTTTTGGAACAATTCATTAAGGAGATGCAGACAGAGATAGGTCCTGGCTTGGTGTGATAGAGGATTAGTTACAAACACTGATTTCCTTCCTTGGCTGTTTCTGAGGTGTTGACTAAAGAAGTGCGTGCTCCACGCTCCCCTAGGCCCTAGCTGCAGGGCAGAGGCACCATTTGCACCACAGTTGCCAATAGGAAATGCAGACTTGCTTTCGTTTCCTCACAACTCACTTGATGTTAAGATCAGTTGCTGGCTGGCGAGATGTGTGGTAATCTCTGAATTCTCACAAGGGGAGTGTGTTATGAGCAGAACCAGTATCGCCGGTGTTCCTAGAAGAAGTGGTAGAAACGTTTCCAGGAAGGGAGTTTTAATTTGGCCGAGCTCTAAACCTTTCACTGTTCTCTTCAACACAGCACTCCTCTCGGCTCTCTGGTGTTCCCCGTCTCTGCAAAACGTCTGGGGATTGCCTCCTCCCAGTTAGGGCTCCTGAGATTAGGAGTGTGGGGGCTGCCATGGTTGCTGCCCGGTGTGTTGCACAGGGGAACGGATTGCGCTTCTCTGCCTCTGCACGGAGGCGAGGAGGAGGAGGAGGAGGAGGAGGAGGAGGAGGAGGAGGAGGAGGAGGAGGAGGAGGAAGAAGTGTTTCACCATCGCGTCCCTCGTGGCTGTGGTTGTGGCAGTGCAGCACGGGCACCTCTCTCAGGCCCCGTGGCCACCAGGGCAGCGCGGAATGCTTAGCCTGCTGCCTCCCGCAGCTTTCATTAAAGTCTCGTCCGGGGTTCATACGTCCACCGTGAGAAAGCGCTGCCTGAGCTGTCATCTCCAGCAGCGGTGCTGGTGCGTTTGGATGGAGGGGAGGGCTGGGCTTTGGTCTGGTGGAGCCTAGCTGCCTAGATGTGAACGCTGGGGGTATATTTTTATAGAGCAGTGGCAGAGCTATTTCGGGGTTGTTTGTCTGCGACTGTTACAGACTCCGTCCAAATAAAAAAGAAGTCATCCTCAGATTTCTAGGTGTTTCGCAGAGTACTGGGCTAATTTTTGTGGCTTTGCAACATCCCCTGCCGGAGTTCCTGCTCTGAGAGATTTTAAAGTCAAGCCAAGAGAAATTTGGTCTTCGAAAGTAGCATTATTACCTCCCGTTATGCCTTCTGATTCCTTTGAATTCAAAACACAATTCAAGGGGCATGTCCCACCCTAGGTACGAGGTAGAGGAAAGACTGGAATGAGTCTTCCCTCTCAGGGTGAGGCTTCACAGAGTGTGGACGTACTGGGTTTCTTTTTCCTAAGAACTGTGACCTTCTCCTATAGCTCTGCGCGTGATGGGAGAACAGCGTGACTTGGGAATAGTAGCGTTTTCTGAGGTCCCGTGGTAGGGTACAGCTGCAGTTACTCAGGCAGATCATGCTCCTTTCCCCATCGCTGCCCTTGCCTCTGTGCTCCTCGGTGTCCTGTTCTACCCCTCGTTTGGTTTCGGTTTGCTGTTTTGGTTTGGTTTGGTTTTTTTCCTTATCTTACGCTACTTTACTTTTTTATTTTATTTTTGGATTTTGCCTCTTCCAGCCTACCCATCTCCCTCATTTTTTGTTTGTTTTTGTTTAATTCCCGTCATTCCTTTAGACCACCAACCTGGCTCCCACCTCCTCCAGTGCCACTATTTCCTTAGCCAACCCCGAGGTCTCCATACTAAATTACCAATCTGCACTCTACCAGCCCTCAGCGGCGTCCATGGCTGCGGTGGCCCAGCGGAGCATGCCCCTGCAGACAGGAACAGCGCAGATCTGCGCCCGGCCCGACCCCTTCCAGCAAGCTCTCATCGTCTGCCCCCCAGGCTTCCAAGGTAAGGAGCAGCCTCGCCGGGTCTCGGCCAGCCGCTGCTCCCTCCCCGCTGCGGTTTCGTCACCCAGCTCTCGTTGGAAACAAGCCTGCTTAGCGCGGGTCGTGGGGCAGAAAAATTGCTGGCCTCGTGAATCGGAGCAGTGAGGCTGTTGCAGGTGGGAACGTTTGCCACAGCGGAGGATCTTGCAGGCACCTCCAACATCATGAGTCGGAGGTGGCTGGTCTAAAACAACGGGGCAAGCGCTGGGGAGGAGCTGGGGGAGAGTAGGTGATATTTGTCATCCTTTGCCCTGAACAGAGTTTGAGGCTCTTCTGCCTCACTTCAGTGGACTTGAAAACTTTCCCCGACCACAACGATAAATCACCACATAAATAGCGGGTTCATCACTTCTCAGGGATTCAGTTGTCAAAAGCAGGACTCAGGAGGTTAATGCAGCAGGGAGTGCAGCGCTGGTGGGGATGAGGGTTTGCCCCCGTAACAGACGCTTGGGACCATTTATTAGTACAATTCCTTCAGCTCCAGCCCTGCCACAAACAGCCCTGCCCATGTATACCAGTGGCAGGCACCGTTGTCAGACAACTTGGGTGATGATCAGATTTAGCCACTTGTCCTCCTCTTGACTTTATATGCTGCAGCAATTTGGAAAAAAAAACTAGCTGGGAATCTGTAGGAAGTGGTCTAAATAGACCTTGATTCAGCTGGTGCAACTTCTGCTCTTCATTTCTACAAGCCTGTCTGTGCAGCAGTCTCTAGGCACTTGTTAAATGTTCTGCAAGATTATCAAGGCTCTTCTGAACTAGGAGAGTCTAGCTAGACCTCTTCTACATAGTTAGAATGCATCTCAGGGGCTTGACTTCAGAAATGTATTGCTAGAATATGTAAGCTAACGTCTTCTGCTTGCTGTCTTGAGAAGGCTCTAAAGCAGAGGAGGTAGCACCGGCTGTGCCGTTGCACTAAGGTGGGGGAGAGGGAAGCTTCCTCCAGCTCAGTTGGGCTAGTGCGTGGCTGAGTCAGCAGTGATGAGTTGGGGTGTGCTAGATTACGTGGTCAAATGAGAGACTTTTAACTAAGAGTCCTGAGCAGCTGTGCAAGAGAAAATCACCTGTCCCTGCCAAGGCTGAGGGAGTACAGAGTCCTGGATTCCCATCCCACTGTCCCACTTTGGTCTGAAGAGAGCATTCTCCCATAGCGATGAGTTTTGTCTGGCAAGGACCATTTTCTGTTGTCAAACCAGAGAATATGGGGGAAGAGAAACCATTGCCTCCCCTCTCTTCCTTTTCTCCCTGTACGCATTGCACTGGTATGTTTCCCGTGCATTTGAGGTACCCTAAAAATATGAACTCAGTTAATCCCTTAACATCTTTGACGATGTCTTTTCTGCACCCTTGTACACGTATCATGTTTATGAACACTTGAAGGACATCTTTGGGCTGAGCTACAATAAGTGGGACTCCGAGAGCCCGATTTTTTTCAGAGGGACTGAACGCTGCAATTTAAGTGGACATTGGCAACCGCCTTTAGGGACCTCTGAAAACGAGATCCCCTGTCCCTAGCAGTGCTGTTGATGGCTAATGCTGTACCTTCTGTGCTGGCGGAACAGGGTTACAAGCCTCCCCTTCGAAGCACGCTGGCTACTCAGTTCGGATGGAGAACGCCGTTCCCATTGTCACTCAGGCTCCTGGGGCCCAGCCTCTGCAGATCCAGCCAGGACTCCTCACACAGGTAAGGAGACCTGAAGGCGCTGAGCTCAGCAGGTATTTTGTGTGGTGTTTAGATCTTGGAGGCTGAGGAGAGTAGCTTGCTTTGGGGGCCTTCTGTGGTGCAGTTTGGAGACTTGGGCAGCTGTATAAGGGTCTGCAGCCTTCTCCAGAATACCCAAACCTCCCCCAGTTCATTGTTCAGCTCAAAGGCTGTGTCAGAGTTGCAGAAGTCTCTGGAAAGACCTTCTTTCCTTCTGCTTCGCCACTGGAATCGGAGGGAAGCCTCAGGGGAAGCTGTGTCAGGCCTCTGCTGAGGAGGAATTAGTAGTAACCTTCCTGCGTCCTCCTGAACTCACGATGTCAGTGGTAGTGTGTAGCCAGGAGTTTCGCTGGTGAATTCCACGCTGCCGATAAATATCTTCCATGCTTTAGGTTTGCACCCTTCTGTTTTACGAGCTGCCCCTCTGCTCTTAAGTTATGAGAGAGATGTAGGGAGCAGAGGCAAGGGCCCCACAGCCAAGAAGCTCTCCTTGTCAGCAGCATTTGTTGGCACAATTGTGTCTGAAATAACGCTCGCAGGAAAAGCATGGTTCCTCCCAGGAAATTCCCAAACAGGAATGGGTATCACCGATCACATGCACATCCTCGAGGGGAACCCCAGCTCCTCAAAAAGGAGGGGCAGTTCATTCCTCCCTGTGCTGGCTTCAGTGAATGTGCCCCTATTGGTTTTTCGGCTGGTGCCATGGCACCTCTGCCAATATCAGGCATGTTTCTGGCAAAAAAAAAAACAAACCAAAACAAAACCCAAGGCACCTAGTATACTTAATACTAAGTTGTGCAGCCTGGAAAAGATGATCTGCAAGTCAAAAATGCATGCCTCTGACTCAGGATGGGTTGATCTGCCATGCCTTCCTTAATACCAGTGCAGTCATACGCAGTCACGTAGCAGCAGACTTTGGGGTTTAGGCCTGGGGGTTGCGTTGCTGGGGTGAGACTTGGTCCAATTGTCTGTCTTTGCCAGCTGCCAGTCACATTTGTCTGGTGAAGGCAGATGGAAACACAACTTGCAGCCTGCATGATTTCCCTTAGCTAACGTGCCCTGCCCCTTCCCAATAGCAGAGTCTTTGTTAGAGGGCTGTCTGGAACATCCAACCTGTCTCTGGTGCAGCCTGCTGTAACAACCTGTGTGGGCCACATCTCCTGTTTGCTCAGGAAGGAGAGCCTAAGAGGCAGGGGGACCGGTGGCAAAGCAAGAAGCAGGCATGGTTGTGGGCACTTTTTTGCTTGTGCAGGAGGTCAGCCAAGGCAGTGGGTGAAGGAGGTGACAGAGCTTTGCACGTCCCACCCTTCTGCCAGGCCTCCTGGGGTGTGCTGCTGCGTGGGGCTTGAGGGATGAGGCTCAGGTCTGAAGCATTACATGGGCAGCAGGATCCTGAAAGATCTCAGGACCTCCAGCTCCTTCTTTCTTCTTGAAGTGACCTTGTTGGAGTCACCACGCGGTCTGTGGGAGGGAGGGAGAGTGTTCAGGAGGAGCTTTGCTCCCAATTTCTGCGCTGCCCCTGCGACATGAACTCCCATTTCACGGACTGCCCCTCTCATATTTCTACTGACGTTTTATTCACTGTCACTTCCACAAGGGAATTTAAGCCGTTTCTGAGAAACACTCCTCACTTGCATAGATTTTTAGGTTTTGATTCAATAAAAGAGAGGTGGTCTGCCTGTTGATATAGCTGTCTGTCTCACGCAATGAGACATGCTAGCTGCTGCTCTGATGGCAAGCGCTCTGATTGATGCCGGTGGCATCTGGTGTCCACGGGCCTCGCTCGGTTCGGGCTGAGCAGCTGGGCTGATAAACAAATCTGTACCCAATTCCAGTTTCCTGAATGGAAAAACACAGCTTCTTTGTAATGCATTGTAGTCACATCTGATCTCTGGGCGGCTGCGTATCTCTCCCTCAGCAGAGAGCTGTTCCTCTCATGCACAGCTGCTTATCTAATGCTCTTCAGACCAGACCGTGCAATTGCTGCAACTACTAGAGGGACTGTCCCGGGCAGAGAGCGTTAGTGCCTCCGGAGCCCACTTCTGTCTTTCCACCTGCCTCATTTGTCCCCCTGATGAGGCACGGTGCTGCTCCTGGTGTTCCCAGCACTGGGCAGTGCCATCGAGCCTTCTCCCCCCTTCCCAGCACGCAGCGCAGGAGGGCTGTTCCTTGGCAAAGCCTCGCTGCATCCCAGCGCAGACAGCATCCAGCGCTCCCTCTGCATCTCGTATGAGACCCAGCAGTCCCGAAGGAGGGGCAGGGGAAGGAGCTCCAGGGGCTGGGGGGACCCACTGGCTGATTTTGGGCATCACCTCTGGCAGCTGTGGTGTGTCTGCAGCCTGTGGCGTGGTGCTAGACAGAGAAAACAGCCTGGAAGATGCAGAGCCAGTGTCAAAAGTAACTTACGTGTAACTTCTCTGGGTCTATTTTCACCCTTCCAAGCAAGCGTGGTCCACATACGGTACGCACAGAGACCAGTGAAAGGAGGCTGCTCCTGTCTTTGCTAATAGCTCTCTGCAGCTTCAGATCTCAAAAGAGACAAAGCTGTACTGTTTCCTGGCAGGCTTCCATGACGTGACCCAGAACTGTCCCCTGTCCTTGAATAATGCCCTGAATTCTTGATTTTCTCTCCTTTTAACTCCTTCCCAGCAACACTTCTTCCCAGCGCGGTCCTGCCCACCACCTTGCAGAACAAACACACTTATTCCATTAGTTGTTTTTTCTCTGCATCCGAGGTGGGAGCTGTGTGGCACCGGGCAACCCACCAGCTCCTGAGCGCGGGGGCCAGCGCGGTGCCCCGCGGCGGCGGCACAATTTCACACGAATGCAAAAACTGAGAATGGGCTGCGGCTGCCGGCGCAAGCCTCCCGTGTGTAAGCACAGCACACTCTGCTAAGTGGATCGGCCTAGGCAAGTCTTATCTGCAGATTAAATCATTCAGTGGTCCTTACCTAATGAGCGAGGAAGTTGTGCCTGGACCCTGACACTGAGTCTAAATTTATGCACTGCAGTCGGGAAAGGAGCTTAGATTTGTTCGGTTCTCTTCCTGAAAAGGGAGGAAACAGTTTTCTGTGCAAGTAAATCCAGGTAGTCCCCGGGGACTGACTGCAACAGTAGTATAGTCTCCTCTTTTATATCAAAGCTGAGAAAAAAAAAAAGCTTTTTTCCTCCGTGATCCTTTCGGGTCTTCGCCTCCTCCTCCTCCTCGCTCCGAGCAGCACCAGTCCATGGTTGTGGCTCCTTAGATGAAGAGCTCTCAAGAGCCCTCTGACTGCCCATCCTTTGCAGATGTTGCTGAGAGGCCTCATCATAGCAGTCTTTCCATCTAATGCAGCAGCATGGAAAATTACAAGACAGTCAAACTTTGGAGCAGAACAGGGAAAAGGTGTTTCTGGGGGGATGGTGAGGGAGGGTTGTGTTTGTTTGTTTTGTTTTTTTTTTTTTTACTGGAGGATAGGAGGGGATCATAGGGACAGTTAACAGGATTCTTATGAGGATGGAGGTGGGGACAAATGAGTGCCTGGCAGAAGCCTCCCCTCTAAAATTTAGCCTCCTTAGAGCTGTGAGCTAACACAACGTGGGCCCCGTATAGCAGTGCCGATTGGGACTAAGGAGGGCCATAGCCGGTACCCCTGTGGTCCCCAGCCCAGGCAGCGAGTTGCTGCCAGAGCCGCCTTCAGGCAGCACGTAGCAAAGAAAGTTCCCCAAGTCAGAAAACAAAATCATCTGGGTCGTGTGTGGAGTCACCGGCGCGGGACGAGCTGGCTGATGCCAGGGGCGATGCAGCTGGAGAGATGATTGCGGAGCAGGGGGATGAGTCAACTTGCAGGGCAGAGTTTTCCACCCCTGCAAGGGGGGCACCCGCTCAGAAAGGGCTGGAGGGCACGTGGGGAGGACAGACGTGCCAGGTGTAGTGGGCAGGGCTCGGCTCTGCTTTGGCCGGGGGCCTCCTGGGGAGCTGGCAGCCGGCGACCGAGCTCCTTGGCCCATGCAGCAAGATGTTCCTCCTGAGGAGCACTCGATGCTCATTCCTTCTCGGTGCCCCAAAATTCACCTTCTTCCCTCCTCACAAAAACCTTGAAGCCCCCTGTTCTCTTTTCTTGATCCTTGAAAAGTTCATTCTCCTTTTTAGTTCCTCTTAAGTTCCTGTAGTCGTTTAGGTCCTGTTGGGAAAATTGGCTGTAGGGGGGCGGAAAATAACAATGGGGCCAGAGTTCCCAGCTGATCTGGAGGGTCAAAGGGTGCTAAAGGGTTTGATGTTTGGGTTGAAATGCCGACCAGTTTTGATTCCTCCCTTTCCCAGTTAGGCTTAAAACATAGCTGCTGCTTTGGATGGCAGGGATTTTTTTTTTTTTTCCCCTCCTTCGCGCTCTCCCTGTCGATAACTTTGACTGCTTTTACTGTGGCTTCCTACCAGTATTTGTCATCTGTGACTAAAAAGTTCTAAGAGTTAGGTGGTACGGCCGCCATTGCTACCCGCAGCCCCAGCTGAGCACGGACCACCGCTCCCGCTCGGTGCACGACACCTCTTCTTAAGAAGTTGTTTTCCCTCTGCCCGGCAGCAAGCGTGGCCCAGTGGCACCCAGCAGATCCTGCTCCCTCCGGCCTGGCAGCAGCTGACCGGGGTGGCCACCCACACTTCTGTCCAGCACGCCACCGTCATCCCGGAGTCCATGGCGGGCACCCAACCACTGGCAGACTGGAGGTAAACTGGCGGCTCCCTGAAGCGCCCGGGGGTGCCGGAGGAGGCGTGAGAAGAGCCGGGGTGGGGAGGGACGGGCTGCTGCGAGGCCGCAGAGCCCCCCGGGGAGGGGGGAGAAGGGCAGAGGCTGCGGCTTCCCCGCTCCCTTGGGGGAAACGCTCCTTCCTCGGCGGGGGGGGGGACGGGGCCCCAACGGCGCCTCGGTGAAGGGCGGCGGGAGCCGGCCGGGGAGCCGCATTCTAAACGCGTGCCCGTCTCCCCCGCTTTGCAGAAACACCCACGCCCACGGCAGCCATTACAACCCCATCATGCAGCAGCCCGCGCTGTTGGCCAGCCACGTGGCTCTCCCCGCCACCCAGCCCGTCAACGTGGGGGTGGCTCACGTCATGCGCCAGCCGCCCGCCGCCTCCGCCAGGAAGAGTAAGCAGCACCAGTCGGCACCCCGGTAAGCGTGCACGGGGTCCCCCCCCCCCCCACCCCCAAACCCCTGGCGCCGGAGCCACCGGCACCCGCGGGGCAAAGCGGAGGCTGTGCCCCGGCCGGCGGGTCACGCTTTGTGTGACGGGGCTCCGCGCCGCTTCGCCTCCTCCGTGCCCAGGGTAGGAGAGCGGCGGGGCTGAGAGGCCGTCAGGCGCCTCCTATACCCGGCGAGCAGCACTCTGTGCGGCTGGAGGGGGGCGCGGGACGGGGGGCTCACGCCCTGCTCCTGCAGCTCCCCGCGCCGCGGGGATTAACCCGCGGCCTTGCAGCCATCGCCATGAAAATCGTGGCGGCGTTCTCAGGCCAGCGAGGCGCAACGCCCGGTTCCCGTACCTTCTCTTCCCACCTCCTCTCGCGGGAGCACCCCTGAGGTGCAGTGCCCACGAGATCTGCCCCGTCCGAAGCAAAGGAATGCCGACCTGTCTTCGGAGCTTGAACGTCAGGCAGGGCGGAGGAGGGCCGGGGTGGCTGGAGGCCACCCTTACGCTCTCTAGCTCCTAACATAGGTGGTTGGCCCCTTTATTCAACAATACACACCAGCAAAAGATACCCGCACTGGCCTTTTTATAATCATGGCAGAATAAACCGGGGAACATTTTATAAGGGCATCTCATACAGGGGCAGTCCTTAGACACCCAAATCTATCAACTCTTAGACACCCAAATCTATCAACTCTTAGACACCTAAATCTATCAACTCTTAGACACCTAAATCTATCAACTCTTAGACACCTAAATCTGTCAACTTTTAGACACCTAAATCTGTCAACTCTCAGTAGGACCATTTGGCTCTACGAGGAGGAGACTGGGGTTTGGTTTATACTGTGTTATGTGGCGCAGCCCAGATGATTGCAGCGCCTGTCACGGCACTGTAATCTTGCCTAGAGGACAAGGGCAGCTTAAGACGTATGTGCAGCTGGTCTGGGGAAAGTCCTCCGGGCTGTGAAACTAGCACATTTCTTTAAAACCAAAACAGAACAGTTGCAAGGGAAGAGAACCAAAATGGGTCACCATTTGTGCAGTGGCAAGAACGGAGGAGCTCGTGGTTTTCCTGGGTGACTGGACTGGGGCCAGAGGAGCTCTGAGTTCACAACCAATTTGACTCTCGTTAAGAGGCCACTATTTAACTCCTTTCCATTTATCTGCTCTCTAACGTCGCATGTACTTTGGGTGGGCTCCAGCTGTCTTAGCCCATTCGGAACGTAGAGCAGAGGCAGCTACGTCCCCAGCAAGCCAGCAAAAGAGAGCGCCTGCTGCAACCAGAGTGCCTGGGCAGGGCCCCCCCTCTCCCTTCCCTCTCCAGGGGCAGGGTAGCAGCGTCCAGGAGGAATTGGACACGTTCAGAGCAAGGGGTCCCTACAGCTTCATTAATTGTGACACTTTTGTAGCCGAATGAGGAATGTGCTTCTTTGGAGGGGAGGGTACTCCACGCTGCTTCATTGGTATTCAGAAAGCACCCCGAATGCTACTGTGCATGCATTTGTTATGCAAAAGACCCTGTGTAAGTTGGTATAGTGCGATAGGTCCAGAACGACTTCCTTTTGATGGATGCCACCTACTCCTTTTGTTAGCTTTCGGGCCAAGCTGAATGTGCAGCCCAGGCCCCGCTGTCGAACGAAACCAGAACGTTGTTTTTTTCATTTTTGAATCTGCAAATGTTCTGCAATAGGCAGAAGAAATAGAAGGAAGAAAGAAAACGTGGGAAACAAGTGAGATGGGCTTTAGTCAGCATGCTTTGGCAAATAACCCCATCTGCAGACCTGTGCTGCACTGTCTGGTGGACAGGTTCTGTGTTCAGATCCCTGATCCAAGTGGGCCCTTTCCAACTGTCAGGCAGGGAGGCTGAAGTAGGAAGACTGGGAAAAAAAACAGGACTTGACAATGTTTTTCTACAGCATAATAAAAGGATTGTTCTTTCTGATTTATATATGCTGTATCTGCTGCCTCACATGGGAATGAAATGAAACTGAGTGTATGTCCTCCCATCTGCGTGCTCTCATCCATGAGACCCCACTATCCTAGAGGATGTAGCATTGGGCAGGAAATGTCCATTGAAAAGATTCTAAAACAGAAGATTAAATTTTCAACTAAGAAAAGCAGTTTTCCTGCTAAATGTTTGTTGCTTTCCACAACGTATTCTAATTTTGCCTTTAGCTTCGTCTGGCCAAAAAATACCTGGTCATGACGCATCCACGGAGGATGCAGGAGAAAGCGATTCCCATTTGGGTTCTTCTGCCTCCTGCGACAGCCGTGCTGTGCCCGCCTGGCTTGTGTATGGCTGGGCTGTGTGACTGGCCTCTACCTCCCAGTGCAAAGTCCTGAGAGGCAGCATTTCCCTCTTGGAAATTCCTAGGGCAAACAAAATGGAGTTTTTTTACGGAAAGGAACTACTTTTCAGCCAGTTACATGAATAAGGCGTGTGAGGCACTCTGTGAAGAGGTGACTGTGCCAATTTTGCAGTTTTCCCAGACTCCATAAATCAGTGCCACTGAACCCGAGACCAGGAATCAGAAGCCGTGGCGACAGGCAACTTAAGCAAACCGAGTTTTAACCAACTAACAACCTTCCCCATTTCCAGAAACGCGTCCACCTACGAAGTTTCATCCTCTCAATCCATCAGCTCGCCCCAGCGGTCGAAACGAGTGAAGGAGAACACGCCTCCCCGCTGTGCCATGGTGCACAACAGCCCTGCCTGCAGCACCGCCGTCACCTGCGGCTGGGGCGACGTGGCCACCAGCACCACGCGGGAGCGGCAGCGGCAGACGATAATCATTCCCGACACCCCCAGCCCCGCAGTGAGTGTCATCACTATCAGCAGCGACACCGATGAAGAGGAGGAGCAGAAGCACGCGCCCACCAGGTGAGCAGCGGCTCCCTGCTCTGCTCTGTGTGCAGGACAGGGAGAGGCAGGGGCGGGGACGTGCCGGAGCATCCCAGGAGTTGCTGTAGGGTCCCAGGGGGTGCGGTTGGGTCTCAGTGCCCAGCTCGCCTTTCCTTTGGGAGGAAAGATGCCGGGGGGAGCCTCAAATACTAGCTGAGGACTCGGCAGACCCAGGCGATGCTCTCTGCCACGCTGTACATTTGCTGTGTGACCTTGGAGAAGCGTAGCAGTCTCTCTGTGCCACGTTCTCTCATCTGCAAGAGGAAGTAATAGCTTTCTCTGTCTCGCAGGACTGTCAAAGGGAGATCCTGTGGTGGTGAGCCTCTTTAAGTCAGATGGCTGTTTAAAACAAAGACAAAAAGAAGGGCTTGGGAGGAAGGGAGCTTAAAACTGCCTTTTCTCTTTCTGAGCGATCCAGGCATCTGTAAAGAGCATTAAATGGCACCTTCTGTATGTGCTAATTTCCATAAAAAGGTCCTGAAAGACAGGTAGCGGTTGTGTCATAAACACTCAATAATGGGAAATACGTTGCATGAGGTTTGCTCAGTTCTGACTGTGTTGCCAAAACGCCCCTGAACCATTGTAAAAAGTGGCAGAAACTGATTGCTTTATGAGTGACTACAGGGAGGCGTCGGTGAGGCTGTGAGGACCCTGGTGACTGAGCTCGCTCCTCAGGGGATTAACGCACCCAAGTGAACAGTGCGGCCCAGGACTGCTGCCACTGCTGATTATCTGCTGTGGGTGAGGGAGGACTTAATGTTCCAGGACTGTCTTTTCAGCACCTTTCATCACATGCAAGCACGCTAGGTTTCCCATCTGATGCCAGTCACGAGCCATCGCTCTGCTGTGTAAGTTGTAGTGAAGTAGCTTTGCAAACAGCTGAACAATTATAGCGTCTTTATGTTGGTAACTGAGCTAGGAATTTTTTAACCTTATCCTTCCAGAATTGTCGAGAGAAAATGAGGTTTTTTATTTATTAAGAACATGCTCCATGGCGTTTTTTCCTTTAATCACTGGAGATATCTATCTATATCTCTGAATCTCCATACCGTGGTGTTAAGTGGCGCACTGCAAATGTGCACTGAAAAGATGAGATGCATTTGGCCTCAAGGAGCTAAAAATGTGTAAAGAGGAGCCATATGATTCAGGTGTCCAGGGCTGCAAATTTAACCCGCCTCCTGACAGCCGCTGCTGCTTCCCATTCCCCTTCTCCCTAACAGTGAACTCCACTGGGCAGCAAGAGCTCAGTGCCTCTCAAATTCAGCCTTGCCATGAGTGCCGTGGTTACCGTGGGGATCACAGGACAGCATAAAAACCAAACCAAACCTGTTTCACTTAAAAAAAAAAAAAAAATGCTACAGTATTCCTTAGTTTGGTCAGGAGAAGAAAGCATGTTTACAGAAGAAGTTGAATGAAGGTTAGCGTGGAAATCAGGTGGACTGTGGATAAGGAGCCCCCACTTCCAGGGCTCTTATGGGAAAGGAAGGGGAAGACAGAAGAGGTGCTGAAAACTAAGACTGTGAGGTGGGGCAGCATGAAGAGGGCAGGTATCTCAAGGTCATGGGAGCTATATGCAAGCATGTTTTCCCATGGTGCTGGTCCCAAGCTTTGGGAAGTTACGTGCAAATACTTACACTTACCGTCCGGGGATCATCGTGGGTTCAGGGAGGGAAGAGCTGGGATCCTGCGGCCACTGCGGCTAACGGTTGTCTCTGCTTCAACTTTCCTGCCATCTGACCAGTTTCTTCACTCGGCACCTCTCCAGGGAGACAGACAGAACAAAGTTCTGGAAAATATCTGGAAATCAAGTTGGGAGTTTGGGGTATTTAAATATTCGGGCAAGGTCTGCCAAGGGGTTAGGAAAGTAGTCCCAGGAGCCAGACTTACATAAACAAACTGGCTTTGATATGACTAAAGCATATGCAGGACGCGTTCCTGCCTGGGATCGGATCCCTGGCTACTTTTTGTGTCCATATGGCATATCTGCACAGGGTGCCAGGGTGCTAGCATTCCTGGAAGGCCAAAGCTTAAGAGCTAGATTTAATTTCTGAGCCATGTAGACATTTTGCACGGACATGGGCCGTTCTCGGGCACCTTTTGGAATTCCAGAGTGAGTTAAATTGCCTGTGCAGATGTAACCAGAGCAAGCGGAGAATTAGAGACAGAGACACGGATGGAAAACAGCATGTCCAGAATGAGAATTTCTGGTTAAAGTCTCCGGCAGAGTGAAATCAACTCACTCGGTGCCTGTTGACCTGAGCAGATCTAAGACCGTATTCTCAGCTGGAACGAGAGTGTAGCTTCCAGTCAAGGAAGCTGTATCAGCATTTAATGCCAATGAACTTTGCCCCTGCCAAAGTTGAGGTCTTTCTCATTGAAAGTGCGTCACACTTAGGAAAGTACCTCCAAGTTTTCTTACTCGCCTATTTTTTTGGCTCCAAGAAAAATGGGAGTGACAGTGAAGTATGTGCTTTAATGTAATCAGTGCCCAAAGATTCAAGATCTGAGTCGAAACTGAAACTGCACAGAATGCATTGTCTCGCCCATATTTATGCAAATATCACCCTGTTGGGCAATAGCTGTGGTGTGGGGGTGAAAAACAAGGAATGACTTGAAACGTGCTATTGGTCACATCCTAGCAATACTAGCTTTTTCTAGATTAGAATGCAGAAATCATATGGTACTTGACAGATCAAAGTTAATCGCCTGATCCCATCTCCTTGATAGCAGTTGTATCTTCGCATTAACTTAACTGGCATTGGATCAGCTCCTGAATTTGCTACAGCACTTCCTTCTCTTATTTTTTATGGGGTTAGAAATTCTCTTTGACCCATGAGACTAAAAATGTTTATTTTATTGATTGCTCAGCGAAGAGAGATTAGAACTACCTGTGGTTGTGAGAAGCAGTAGATCCTTCGACGATGTGAGAGTGCATAAGGCTCGGTTTAAGGAGGACTGGTAATGCTGATAAAATATGATCCTGCTGATGCAGTGACGGAGCCCTCCGGCTTGGGTTCACGTGGACAGAAAAGCCTCTGTAATAGCGGAGCAGCAGAGAGAGCTTTTCTCGTACAGGGGATGCGGATCTTTTATTGGTGAAAGAAAAATCTGAAGAATTCAATGTGATACAGGCAGAATTTTCCTTTTCCTAATGAGAAGCACCGATGTTCAAGCAGGATGTAATGAGCTACCAGCTGACCAGGCAGGCCGGCCAGCACCTTGCTCGTTCTTTGCGTACATGTGTTTTGCACTGTTGACGAGCGGAGCTTGGTGTAACTTTTTTAAAATCGATAGTCATCTGAAAATGCTGGGCTCCTGCTGGGTGGAGGTGCTGGGGAGGCGGTGCGAGGTGGGCTCTGGAGGAGCTGCTCGATGGAGCCTTGTCAAAGGGGGTCACCTGCTGGCCCCAGCCCCGTGCCTCGGGCAGGATCCCTGAGCAGGGACCGTCCTCAGAGAAACGGTCAGGGATTTTCAGGGGGCAAATTCCTGAGAGAAAAAAGCCAGTTCCTCAACCGAGGCTTCTTGCAGGCTACGCTGAGATTCTTCTAGTAATATCTCCAACACAGTGAAATCTGGGGAAGCTTCAAAACTGCAAAAAGTTTTGACGTTTATTTAAGGGGGAGAAAGTGCTAGGGGACTAACTGATTAAGAGTAAGGCTTCTCTTTTCTGGTTCAATGGAGGGGCTTTTTTCTTTCAAAATCTAAGCAAATAATACAAAAAAAAAAAAAATGGTCAAAATGAAAAGGGAACATTTTTACTGAACGAATTTGGTTTTACTTTGTTTCTGATGCCCACGAAGTTTTGCATGTGACATTTTGTCCTGTAGTACAGCATAAAAGAATTTGCATATCAACAGCATTATATGAACAGGAAACAATTTTTTCACCCTGTTTGTTTATCACCAGTGAATTTCTAAACTCTTGGTTCAGCACCTTTTACAAAGAGACTTTATAGGCCAGAGAGGTGCTTAGTACTGCGCTGCAAGGTAATACCCTGATTGTTACTTATTCCGGAAAGAAGAATTTAGGTCTCGCCTTTACCTGTAAAGCACTGAAGAGAGTAAAACCAGAGAGTAGACTTGCCACTCTTCATAGGAATGTATTCCTCTTACGTTTCTCTACGTGCGAGAAAGTCAAGCAGACAGACAGACAGACTGACAGTGCAAGGGCAGTCGCAGTAATCGGAGCGCACACTCAGCAAGCAGCAGGCGGTGCTCCCCGTTATGCAACCTCGCCTGGAGCGGTGGTTTCGGGGTAAATCCTCTTCTGATTCAACACCTCTGGAGCCCAGAAGCGGAGAAGAATAAAGCAGCAGCACGAAGGCAGGGCGGAGGCACAGACGCACCCTGGGGTTGTGGCTGGGCGGGCGGGCAGCCGTGGTCGGGGGCGAGGAGCGCTGTGCCGTGCTGCGCCGTGCCGTGCTGTGCCATGCCGTGCTGCGCCGTGCCACGCCGTGCCATGCCGTGCTGTGCCGTGCCATGCCGTGCCGTGCTGTGCCGTGCCGTGCTGTGCCGTGCCACGCTGTGCCATGCCGTGCCATGCCGTGCCGTGCCGTGCCGTGCTGTGCCGTGCCACGCTGTGCCGTGCCACGCTGTGCCATGCCGTGCCGTGCCGTGCCGTGCCGTGCCATGCCGTGCCGTGCCGTGCTGTGCCGTGCCACGCTGTGCCATGCCGTGCCATGCCGTGCCGTGCTGTGCCGTGCCACGCCGTGCCATGCCGTGCCGTGCCGTGCCGTGCCGTGCTGTGCCGTGCCACGCTGTGCCGTGCCACGCCGTGCCATGCCGTGCCGTGCCGTGCCGTGCCGTGCCATGCCGTGCCGTGCCGTGCTGTGCCGTGCCACGCTGTGCCATGCCGTGCCATGCCGTGCCGTGCTGTGCCGTGCCGTGCCGTGCCCATGCATGCCGTGCCGTGCCGTGCTGCGCCATGCCATGCCGTGCCGCGCCGTGCTGTGCTGCACCGTGCCGTGCCATGCCCATGCA